TGTTTTTTTGGGTTTTCTCTGGTACCAGGAACCGAACTCACGACCTTGCGCTTGCCAGGCAGGCGCTTTGCCACTGAGCTAAATCCCCAGCCCCAAAGAACAAATATTTTAAAGGACTCAGAGTAACACCTGGGCAAAGTTTCTGGGAGGAGCAAAACCCCAATTACTCCTCTAAGCCATTCCTCACTCCCCTGGATGGGAAATGATTGCACGATATGTCCAGCCACAGGCAAACTTGGGCAATACATGCCTCCCTCAAAGTCAAACGCTGAGAACTAACCCCCAAGGCCATGGTATTCAGAGGTGGGAAACTTTGAAAAGTGTTCAGGACTTGAGGGCTGTACCCTCATGCATGAGATTAGTGTCCTTTTAAAAGCTTGAGAGAAGCTGTTGGCCTCTTCTGCCTTATGCGAACACAACAAGAAGGTATTGTATTTGAAGCACGGGACACTGAATCTGTTGGTGCATTGATCTTGAATTCCCCAGCCTCAGGAACTCTGAGGGATGCATACATTTCTATTGTTTATGAATTGCCAAGTTCACGATTTCTTATAACAGCTCAAACAGACTAGGACACCCCACAGAGTTTAGCAGTGACACAAATACAAGAAGGAACTGAAAGTTGACTGAGACCAATGCTGATCGAGATCATTATTCCCTAGTCCTGATGTTTGTACTCACAGTGGGAGCTTTGCCAGAGTGACACTTTTGGCCTCTCTGTCTCTTCACCAGACAGTGATTTACCTATCTAGTGATCTTGGGATAAAAGAAAAAGTCATGAAAAAGAAAAGTCACGTACTATTTCGAGAACATTTCTTAAATATATTTCCTCTGCTCTGTCTCACGCCAGTGTTGCTTGATTTTTTCTTTCTGGTTTGTCTCATTTCTTGCCAGGATGGTTGCAGGATAAGCAAAGCGTTTCTCCTCCTATGCCAGCCCTGTACCCATCAAGTTGTACCCCACACCTCCATCAGAGTCTAAAGCATGAACTTGATTCTGTTTTGCTGCTTACTCCTCCCTATTGCCTAGTACCCTCTGCAACATGAGCCCTTGACCTTCTCTCCAGGCTGTTTTCCTCATCCGTGTTCCAGTTTCTGTGATGATACTAACACATCCCGCCTCCCCCATGCCCGGGATGGCCAATGTGTAGATAGATGTCTCTCGTTTCTGCAGAGCAGTCCAGCTCCTCTTCCGATGCCCAAGTGGTGGAGCAGGGAAACCCACCCCAGGACGGGTGCTGACCTATGAGTCCAGACATTCACTGGCTCACTGTATTTATCAGCTATTTTGCTTTCCCTTGATGAGCCGGGCTAGTGAGTCTTAGAGGTTTGATTTCTGGTCCGACTTTCTCTGTCCTTCCCTATCCACGTGGCAGTGAGAATTGGCGCTCTGGTTAAAGCTCATGCGCTCAGCATCAAACACCAGGTGAGTAACTCAGACGGAGCAGGCAGGGAAATGGGAAGAGAGAAGACTGGCCTAGATCATCTGTTAGTTCTTCGTCTGTAGTTCTTCTGGGGTATTTTTATCAAAAAATCTGGAGGTCAAGAAGGCTGACAGAGGGGATGGGGATATATAACTCAGTGGTGCAGTGCCTGCCCGGCAAGTGTGAGGTCCTGAGTTCAATTCCCGGTACCAAAAAAAGAATAAGGAAGGCCAAGAGAAGTCATGCTCTAAAATCCTACCCCAGCTCTCCATCACTGCATACGTCTTAACAAAGTTTTTATCACACACTATTTGCAGTAGCTAATTTGGATAGGACAGTAGGGAATGTGTCGCTCCTAATACTGTGGCTGTTTAAGTCAGTGTCCATATATTGTTGTTTTTTATCCCTGACAAAAGAGAAGGTGCCACACTCTTCAATAAATGTTTACATAACACAATACAAAATATTTATAGTTTTCAAAGCTCCTTTTAACTGTTTCTTGCTTCTGGGGAGGAAAGACAAATGGAAAGGAAAAAAAATGAGATGGAAGTTTAACTAAGCATGTCTGTACTATTTCCACTAATGTCGGAACACTGTAATAGGTTTTGCTGAAGAGGGAAGTATATGCTGTGTAAATTCAGCCACAAAACACACAGTGTGATTACAGTGAAAGGACTATAAAGCACATACTCAAACATCATTGGTTTGCCCAAGATTTTGAAGAAATCCAATAGAGTAATTTTGGTATGAAAGGGTAGGTAAAGCCTAAAAGCAAAAACAAAGTGAGTGCATTTCAAGCCGACAGCATTCAAACATCTGTTCTTATAGGTTAATTAATCCTGGTACTGAGTTGATTTGTCACAAGAGAGCCATGTATTGCCACAGCACTCTGAAAGGACAGAAATTACCCCATATAGAAGTAACCCCACTGGAATTGCTTGATGGTTTTGTTTCACAATGGAAAAATTCATCTTTTGTCAGCAATGTGAGGAAAGAAAACAGGAAGACAAAAAGTTGAATAGGTAAAAATTTACCTTATATGCATGGTTCCGTTAGGGATCTCCCTGGGATAGGAGTGTGAAATCACACTTGTAGGCAGGTCCCATTTCTTTGTACAGAGCAGTTTTAGCATTCAGAGAAGGAATCCATGCATTTAATGTAATGCTAGGTTTTTATTTTTGTTTGGTGATTATCACCCAAAATTAAAAAGCTAGTGCCAAAGTAAATATATGGATACCTTCTCTGAATTGTAAAATTAATAAAAGCAAAATCTGAAAAAAAATAGGAATGCTTACACTTTTAGTGCATGTGTATGTGTCCTATGTGTATAGTTTAATAGACTAAAGTTTATAGCATTTCAGAAATATGGCCAAACTCATTTTACCTCACTCATCAGTGGAACACTTACTAAAATCAGAGAAAATGAGAACTCTATGCTCTCAGTTTTACTAATATGGCTGTGACTTTTCATTGATTTTATATCTTCTTACTCTATGAGTACCATTTCATCAGTTTTGAGACATCATAACTGTGTATGTGACTAATATGAAGGGGTGCATTTAAAATATGACTTAGTACTTAGAATTTCTTATTGTATACCCCTTTATGTAAATTTTTAAGAAGCCGAACATAGTTTTTATCACATGTAGTCCATCATAGGTAGTCCAGGCTGGCCTCGAACTCCCAACTGTCCTCCTGCCTCAGCCTCCTGAGGGCTGGGATTAC